TTTTGAGGAGGTGAAAACGCTATTGAGACAGTTTCAAAGCGCTACGAGATGGGGAAAGGGGTTTTCTTAACATGTGACAAAGTGCATAAACAACTCTGATTTTCAGGAGGTGAAAACGCTATTGAGACAGTTTCAAAGCGCTACGAGCTGGGTAAAGTGGTTTTCTTCACATCTGACAATGTGCATAAGCAACTATGATTTTCAGGAGATGAAAACGCTATTGAGACAGTTTCAAAGCGCTTCGAGCTGGGGAAAGTGCCATCCTAACAAATGTCTATCTGCTAAAACAACTATGATTTTCAGGAGGTGAAAACGCTATTGAGACAATTTCAAAGCGCTACGAGAAGGGAAAAGTGGTTTTCTTAACGTGACAATGTTCCTAAACAACTATCATTTTCAGGAGGTGAAAACGCTATTGAGACAGTTTCAAAGGGCTACGAGCTTAGGAAAGTGTGGTCTTAACAACTGTCAATGTTACTAAACAACTCTGATTTTCAGGAGGTGAAAACGCTATTGAGACAGTTTCAAAGCGCTACGAGAAGGGAAAAGTGGTTTTCTTGACACGTGACAATGTGCATAAACAACTATCATTTTCAGGAGGTGAAAACGCTATTGTGAAAGTTTCAAAGCGCTACGAGCTTAGGAAAGTGCCTTTCTAACAAATGTCTATCTGCTAAAACAACTCTGATTTTCAGGAGGTGAAAACGCTATTGAGACAATTTCAAAGGGCTACGAGGTGGGGAAAGTGGTTTCCTTAACAACTGTCAACGTGCCTATACAACTATGATTTTTAGGTGGTGAAAACGCTATTGAGTCAGTTTCAAAGGGCTACGAGCTGGCGAAAGTGCCTTCCTAACAAATGTCTATCTGCTAAAACAACTATGGTTTTCAGGAGGTGAAAACGCTATTGTGACAGATTCAAAGCGCTACGAGCTTAGGAAAGTGCCTTTCTAACAAATGTCTATCTGCATAAACTACTATGATTTTCAGGAGGTGAAAACGCTATTGAGACAGTTTCAAAGGGCTACGAGCTGGGGAAAGTGGTTTCCTTAACAACTGTCAATGTTCCTAAACAACTACGATTTTCAGGAGGTGTAAACGCTACTGAGACAGTTTCAAAGCGCTACGAGAAGGGAAAAGTGATTTTCTTAACGTAACAATGTGCCTAAACAACTATCATTATCAGGAGGTGAAAACGCTATTGTGACAGTTTCAAAGCGCTACAAGCTTGGGAAAGTGTGGTCTTAACAACTATCAATGTTCCTAAACAACTCTGATTTTGAGGAGGTGAAAACGCTATTGAGACAGTTTCAAAGCGCTACGAGATTGGGAAAGGGGTTTTCTGAACATGTGACAAAGTGCATAAACAACTATGATTTTCAGGAGATGAAAACGCTATTGAGC